TTAGGCCCGAGGCCCTCACCTTCAGCAACAAGTCGGCCAGGTAGACGGCAGTCCAGCCACCCACCACCACCACCAGCAGCGACACCGGAATCATGGCGGCGGCGGCGGCGGCGGCGGCGGCGGCGACAGAGGAGGGAAGGCGAGCCCCGGCGTCCTCCTCCCTGCGCCGCAAACAGCTGATAGTGCGGCGCCTTCCAGCCCCAGCATCCGCGCAGGAACCAAGCTACCTATGGCTCCTTTCCCACAGTAACGCCGTTTTCTTCCGGACTTTTCCGGTGTGACACACTGACGAATTTGCGAATACCGGAAAACGGCGCGGGGGCTTGGTTTTGTGGGACACATAGGCACAGCCCTCCCGGCAGTTCGGGCTCAGCGCCTAACCTTCTAGCGATTTCTTAGGTTTTGGCCCTCCCTGCTGTCTGCTCTCCATTCTCTCCAGTTTGCTGTTTCTTTTAATCTAGTGAGGATTTGAGGTCACCTGAAGTAATAATCATTTCTCCCTCCCTTACCCTGTCATAGTTATCCCGATTTAAGTTAATTGTTTATTCTTTGTTTTTACTTACGTGTAATTTACATATAGCGAAATCATACATACAGATCGCAGTCGACCATTTCGATGAGTTTTGATAAATGTATATTTCCGTGTACCCTAATCAAAATTGAAAACATTTCCTTTTCAGGAATTTCCTTCGCAGTCGATCACCCCTCCCCCTTCATTCTGATTATTAAAACTTTATGTAAATGAAATTACACAGTCAGTACTCTTTGTGTCTAGCTTGTTTTGCTCAATGTGTTTTTGAAATTTATCCATATTGGATAAATTATTTTTTTTAGCCTCTTTCATTATAAAATTTGAGATTGGTGTTAAAAACTGGGAGCTCTGAGCATCTACACATATTTTAAAGTGTGTATACGTGATAATATATTGAATTAGGATCTCCAAGGTATTTTTCAAATTCTCGATGCCCATTTTGTAGCCTCAATCAGTTAAATCAGAAGCTCAGTGGGACCCAAGCATTTATACTTTTTAAGCTCCTCAGGTTATTGCTCTATGCAGCCGAGGTTGAGAACCACTTAATTAGAAGACTAACAGGCCGGGCTCGGTGGCTCAGCCTGTAATCCCGCGCCTTTGGGAGGCTGAGGTGAGTGGATTGCCCGAGCCCGCGGGTTCGAGACCCGCCTGGGCATCGAGACCTCATCTCTACAATAAATCAAAAAATCAGCCGGGCGTGGTAGTGCATGCCTGTAATTCCAGCTACTTGGAAGGCTGAGGGGGAAGGATTGCCGGAGCCCAGCAGGTTGAGGCTGCGGTCGCCGGGAGCGGCCACTGCACCCCAGTCTGGGCGACAGAGTGAGACTCCAACTCAAAAAAAAAAAAAAAAAAAAAGAGACTAACAGGAAGGAGTATTAATATTTATTGTGTGTTTTTCTGCATTCTGTTAATGTTTATCTTTAAGGTTATTTGTTTCCACTTTTCTGGAAAAGCATCATTAGCCATTAGCAACAATAATACTAATACCAAAATATTTAGAACGTAATACTACCTTAAGAACAAGTATCTCAAATAAAAATGCACCCTCAACCCCCTTCCAAGTGAAACTATAGTATAATATCAGAAACCTATATTATAGATATTGCTACAAATTTGCCTCATTCTCCCATATGTCTAAAGTTTTAATCACTTAGCAATATGTCTTTCCAGCTTCAGAAAATCTTATAACTCGGTTATACATTTCTTTGTGTATATATGTTATAAATGATTTCCATTTTCTTTGGACATAGCTGGGTGTAAATTATCAAAGTTTATGTTCCAGCACCCTGTTATTCCGTAGTTTTCCATATGCAGGTGTCTCAAAAGTCTTAGTGCTGTTTTAAGCTTTGCTAATTTCTGAAGCATAAATACTACAAATTTGAAAAAACCATCACTTGGGAAAGGTTATTTAAATTTCTCATGTTTGTTTCATTTTGTGAATTTTGAATAATCTTAAATATTTTTTAGTCCCTCTAACAGAAGATGGCAAATGTTGACTGAGGAAAAAAAATAGAATTCGTTTACTACTCAAAAATTTACAAAACCAAATAAGCATGAAATAAATTTAAATAATTATACTTTAAAATAATGTTTGTATAGTTTATAGAATTTATACTAATGAAGTTTTAAAGCCTAAAACTATACTAAGGCTATTGGTATATAAACTATTGTGTTCGATCTGACCTTTGTTTGCTCTAATATAATGGCTCTAGTTTTTAACAATATTCATCCCTGGGAGGAGGACATAAACTTAAGAATTGAAATGACTTATCTTTTGTTAGCCTGAAGCCTTGTCTGGACCACTTACTGGGACAAGTACCAGCTACCGTGTGGCTATCTGATAGCCCAAAGTATGTAGAAAATGAGTTGATTGTAGCTTTCTGTTTCCAGCCTAAAAATTTAGTTATTCAACTGGCTTTGTGTTCTCATCAGGGACGCAGCAGTCAAAACAAAGCACTAAATTGAATCCTGCTGGTTGCTGGAATTTAGCTGTAGTGGAAGCCAGCTGGTGGCAGCAGAAGAGACAAGATAGAGAATGCAAGATGGCAGCAAAGATCGCCAGAATTCTGAAAGATCAAGGTATTTTTCCTTAGAATAAATTATTGACTTAATTTACAAATTGTTTCAGATTTCTATGAAGTAACTATTTTAAATAAAGGGCTACAGTCAAGAGTTTCTTCATGTCATTTTTATTTAGTAAATTATATTTAGAGGGCACCAAATATATATTTTGACTGAATGCAAAACAGCTGCATGTTAAAAATCATTATTTGGCTGAAGCAGAATATCACCATCATATAACAGACTTTGAGGATAAAAGACTACACATAAAACTTAAAAGAATTGTTTGGATTGGTTTTATTATTAAAAATGTTAGTATTCAGTTAGCCATTCCACAGTGTATACCTATTTCAAAACAGTATGTTGTATACCATAAATATATACAATTTTTATTTGTGAATTTAAAATACTAGTATTTAGATATTTAAAGTTTTGCATGGCATTCAGGAATATTTATTTCTCATCAATGTAAGCTGACAGTTTGCTCCTGGGATCACTATACATTTATGACACTAAATTGCACCTGTCAGAATAAGCTAGGTTATGATTTGGAAACAGACATTAAAATCCACTGGCTTAAAACAACAGAGATTTATTTTTTGTTTGTGCTAGCTGGCAGGATGTGCAGGTGGGAATATTGCAGGCTGATGGAGACGCTACCATTGTATCATATCTACAACTCAAGATGAGGCTTAGTTAACCATGGCAGGGAAAGAGTGGACTAGGGAGTCTACCACTGGCAGTGAAATGCTATAGTCCAGTTATGCACATGAACATCTTCCACTCATGTTTTATTAGTCAAAACTAGTCAAATAACTGTACCTAACTTAAAGGGCAGGGGAAGTGTACTCCCCTGTATACCTAGAAATAGAGAAGGATATACCCAGAAGTAAATACCAGTGTTATCTACCACATAAACTGATGTTCACTTTCACCTAAGGAGGGTAGAGTAGTAGCCATTGTTTAATTAGCTCTGCCATTATGGGATATTGTTAGTGTTGTTGCTGCCACAAAATTATTAAGCTTTCCTTTCTGTTTAATAGGAACTGACAAAGGTAAAGATTCATCTCCATTTAATTAATATCCCAGACTTGGTGTGGTTGCCCATGATAGTGTAGTTTGATTGAAGCAGTCCCACAAATGGAAGCTTTGAGTACCAGTTGAAGAAAATATTTTCTGAATCTTTTCAGAAAGTGTTGTTTTCACTTATATTTTTTATTTCTATTTTTTCTACCTCCACTTGGTGCTTTTACAGTCACTTGGATAAAAATTGTTCTTAAACCTTAGTTTTACCAATGTGATAATAGAACAATATAATTGACTTTCAAAAAACCAATCATTTCAGTCTTTACATCTGCATTTCGGTTTCATTACATGTATACCAGTATCAGCATCTTCCTGGAGTACAATAAGAGACTCTTTTTAGTAGCTATTCTGTAAGAAATACTTTCACTCTGAAAGCAATAGTTTGGTTACTTACCTTTTCATCAGAGTCCAGCAAGCAAATTACTTTCTCTTCAAGCAGTTTTAATAAATTAAGATATATTCTCATCTAGAAAGTATATTGTTTTTGTTCCACTCAAGATGACTTTTAAACATAGAGTAGGCCAGGCACAGTGGCTCAAGCCTGTAATCCCAGCACTTTGGGAGGCCAAGGTGAGGGAATTGCCTGAGCCCACGGATTCAGGAATAGCCCGGGCAACTTGAGGAGACCTCATTTCTACAATAAATCAAAAAATTAGCCAGGCATGGTAGTGTGTGCCTGTAGTTCTGGCTACTTGGAAGGCTGAGGCAGAAGGATCTCCTGAGCCCAGCAGGTCAATGCTAGGGTGGCCGTGAGCATGCCACTGTACTCCAGCCTGGGCAACAGAGTGAGACTCCCACTCAAAAACAAAACAAAACATGGAGTAGCTGCTATTCCATCTTGTTTAAATATCTTGTTAAATATATGACAAAGCCATTCCAAAATCTTTGAACATCATGTATTTTGTTTTATCTGAGGTGTGATGAAGTAGTCCACTAACTTTCTGTTCATAGAGAGTTATAAATTCTGATTACAGTACTGAAGGGTATGTGAACAGAACATCATGAGCTTGATTCCTCAATCACTCTTAGACTTCACCATGTTGATCATATTATTTTTGATTTATTTATTTATTTTTGAGTTGGAGTCTCACTCTGTCACCCAGACTGGAGCGCAGTGGCCATTCCCGGCCACCGCAGTCTCGACCTGCTGGGCTCCGGCGATCCTTCTGCCTCAGCCTTCCAAGTAACTGGAGCTACAGGCGCACGCTACCACGCCCGGCTAATTTTTTATTTATTGTGGAGATGAGGTCTCGCCAAGTTGCCCAGGTGGGTCTTGAACCCACAGGCTCAGGCAGTCCACTTACCTCAGCCTCCCAAAGTGTGGGATTACAGGCTGAGCCACCGAGCCCGGCTGGTTGTACTGATAACAGTTTCATGACTCTCTTCTTTACTGATTTTCCATCTTATAAATAGTTCTACAATCAGAGTGTATTATGTTAATAGCTGTATGAGACCTCAGTGATCTCCCAACAATCAAGCAAAAGCAGAATTGAGTTCATCATTGATTCTCTGTGCTGTCAAACTTAAATGTGACCTGTAGTTGTTTCTGCATACCCAAAGGTCTGATGTCCAAGATAAAGTAGTCCTATTCCATAATATCATAGCCTTTCTATATACAGCAGAATCCAATTCAAGAAAAGGTTTTTTTTCTTTTTATAATTAAT